TTATGTAACCACGTGGGAGGGGAGGTCACATTCATTTGCTGATGGGTTAAAAGGGCCACACGTGTTTTAAACGTCCTGTGGCCTTGTAAATACCTTCCAGTGATTCATTGCTGACAGACGCTCTGCAGAGGCAGACGCAGGCCTGTGTAGAGTTAGAAGGGAGGGGGGAGGTAACGGACAGGAGTGGAGGGTGGGATGGTAGTTGGTGCCTGCTTTATATTGTGTCCTTCATTGCAACATGATTTGTTTGCTAAAATCAAGAAACTATGGTGCTTAATATTCAAGTCTTTTCCTTTCATGCTGCAGAGGTTTGTTGAGTTTGGATAATATGGTAATCATTCTGCAGGGTATCTCATTGATTTTCTAAGCTTGAAAGTTTCAATGAAAGGCAGTGACAAAGAGGAGAAAGTGACAAAGCAAAGGAGGGAAAATTACTTTACTCCCTCATGCGAGCTCTGCTTCCTGTCTGGGAATCATTAGTAATGCTGGGGCCAGACTTGGGGGAGAGTGGAGGGAGGGAACAGAGAGATGAGACAAAAGAGGGACACAGGAGAATTGACAAGGATGCCGTCGCCACAGGAAATGTCAACCTCCACCCCTTTTTTTTTTTGGTCAGACATGGGATGATGAATCGCAGGTTTTAGAGACATTAAAGAAGAAGATAAAGATGGGTAGTGTATCATTTACCACATGTCCTTTTCTGGGATGTGGTAGATTGTAAATCTTTTGAAAATACAGACTAAACTTTCTCACAGCTGCTTGTGCTTTTTACTTTTTGATGCATCTTTTCTATAGCTACCATAGCTCCATGTGCAGTATTTCAACCGGCAGTTGACCATCCAAAGCTCTTTCCAATTCAAAGTCACCATAAAGCCCAACTTTGCTTTATTCAGTGTTAGGTGAAAAATAAAAATGGATAACTTCATGATATGCAACCTCTTCCAGTGTGTTCGCCTTGACCAGTTTTGTTGTCCTTGTAAGAACATTTTGCATTTGTTTGAGGGTTTTTACAGTGACAGTCTTTCTTTCAGGAAACTTGATTGTGTATCAATTCTTGCCACATTTGCACTGATTAGTGTCAGTCCACTTCTTGTGAATAAAGCCTGTCCCATTTTCATCTTGTAAGCTGGCATACAGCCGTGGCACAACGTTATACTGGCCGTGTTCCCCAAAATGAATTCACACTGAACTGATACATTGTGAAAAGAACTTTGAGAGAATCATTTTTATCCGATTTAAAATGTAAAAGTAATAGGCTGGACATTGTCTGTCTGTGATAATGATTAGAAACAGGTGGAGATGCAAACACAAATATATTAGAGTGATCACCAGGACTCCTACATGAAGCTAAATGACAGGGGGCAGAAGTTACATCTTCTTTAAGGGATAGCAAATGCTGATATATGATGTAGACTCTACAGCATCACCATGCAAACTCTACCATCAGGTCATGTTTCAACATGTGTGCAGCCCTCTGGGTTTAGCATGCACACACACAAGGAGTCTGTGTCATGTGTTCAGTAGATTCTTCAGATGTGTGTCTGTTTGAAAGTGGGGGCATCTTTTTGGAGCAGGCCATCCTGCAGGGAAAGACCCAACGCCTCAGGCACAACAGGTTGTCTCATGCACCGACATCGAAGGGTCAGCACAGCTGAGGGAGATGGCAAAAGCCTTGAATAACAACTTTAAAACGAAAAATGTATTTTACCATAATTCCTTAGTCTCTACTTAAAGTGGCCTTCATGCTCACAAACAGATCTTGGTTGAACATGTCTCCATTATTTCAGCACTGTAATGTTGACACATAGCAATAAATCACCACAATGTACCTCCATCTCCAAATCCCAAATTCCCTATTTTAATAATATTCACTTATAGTAGTTTATTCTGCAACTGTGGTCACAAAGTTTTAGTAAATATCCCAAACAATAATCTCTGAAATCTTTAAATTCTTTTTTCCTGGTTTTATTTCAAAATCTTGTTTTAGTCTCATCATCAACAACTCATAGGCCTGATTATGACTCACAAAGTAGCAGTAATTCTTGTCTTTACAGTAATGCTAAAGCCATTAAATGCTCATAGAGCTTAGTTTAAGATAATTCTCTCTTCTTCATCTTTTTGTCTGTCTGGTTCACATTAAAAGCTGCTGAACCGTTTATGGGCAAAGGTTGATGGATTGATGGCAGGACACATGGAGGGCTGTCTGAAATCCTGCACCAGTGCACATATGTATGTATATCTGTTTATGTGCTTGTGGCCATGGGTCAAAGCAGGGAGATAAGGTTCACTAATCAGCAGTGAAACCTCTGTGTGCATTGCTGTTCCTTCCAGAGCTGTTACAGGCTTTGTAGATAATTCTGAATGCTCCAGCCTGCAAGAAGTACCAGATGTGAGGAGTTCACAACACCAGTACCTCTATGATAAAGTGACTTTCAAATAATGTTTCATACTACGAGACAAGCCCAACCCATCTGGAATCAAAGCCGGATAAAACAAACCATCAAAGGCATCTACAAGCACTATTTGACCCAGGAGTGCTTTATACCCTAAATCCAAAATGACGGCATAATGCTGCAGCCAAGTCTGCAGACAGGGTTTTCGTTGGATTGAGCTTTCAGTTGCGCTAAGATAAGAGAGCCTGACACAGCCAAGATTACTCAGTCTGTCTTAGTCTGTCAAGAAGAATGGAACAACTTGTCCTCTGGATCTACTGTATGTTCAGACCTTTGTTTCAACGCCTCCCACTGGAGTACATACTACATGTTTCCAAGTGAGACAAAATGGCAAAAGTTTTGCATGGAAAACTGCATCTAAACATTAAACACTGTGTGACACAATTCCAGGCTCTAAGTGCAGACTTATGAAATCAATCTTTTGAGTGTTTTTCAGGTTTTTTTGCTACATAGCAACAGAACAAGAGTAAAAAAGAAACATTAAGAGGGAGAGCTATCCCATCCAACACAATTCCCTTCTGAATGGAAGTGATTTCAAGCCTTCAAGTTTGGTCATACTGTATGTGAGCACTGTAACCACTGGTCTGAAGCCTTACAGTGTGTCAAAGTGGTGGCTGTTTTGTGGACAGGGACTGCTATAATTACTGCTTGTGTTGAGAGTCCCTCTGAGCTGTGATCCCTGTGACCTGACGTAACCCTAATCTGGATTTACACTACATCAGCACATCTCTTTCTCTTGCTTTCTCTCTTATTCTCAAAGAAACACACTGTTGGAAATCACTGAAAGACTAAAACCTATCAATTTATTGCTTTTACAAATATAGCATATAAAGCTACACATACACAACAACACAACTTGTGCACTTGCTTTAATACACTTACAAACACAAACGATTACTTTATTCACACCTACAAAAATGGAATGATGCACTCAAATAACAGAAAGTACAAAAAAAGATACAGCACATAAGCATCATACACATGCGCACAGGCGATATGAACCTGCCCAGAGTCACTTCAGCTCTGGCCAGCTAATGGTTTTGGGTCAGTTTCATCATCCTGGTCATGATGTTCAGGTCAAGGTCCGCTACAGACCAGCTGCTCCCAAATCATTTGTTAGCAGCTGCGGCTCAAATCCGCCCTTCAATTATTGTGGCACCAAGAGGGAAGGAGCAACTTTTGGCTATACGCATGACAAGCAGATTGCTGGGTCTTTAAGACTCTGCATGCATACGAGAATGAGTGTGTGCGCTGCTGTGTAAAAGGTCAGGGAGTTTTGTGGATCTCCACGCTGAGAGAATATGTGTATATCAAATGGGTTGTGGTTGTGTTTAGAAATAGACGACTGCATAAGGCTGCAGGATTCTCCCAGTAACTCCACTAGTACAGTAGATATGTGCTCCTCCATTGTATTTTTTTGGCACACACTGATGATAAAGTAATTTAATGGGAAACAAATGATGACTGTAATTCATTACTTTTGAATGTAGTACAGTGGCCCAGTGGCAGTCATGAAATTTCCCATAATGCATCCCCTGTGTACTGTAACAGCTAATTCAGATGTTGCTTATGCAGCAGCCAATGTTGTTTCTTTCTTTGCTGTAAAAGCAAATTACATTGGTGCTTTTTATGGTACAAACAGCAAAACACAGACACTGATTCCCAAACAGACATACTTTGAACGATTGTAAAGTAGCTCAACTGATTTGAAAAATAATACAATTTAATTAGAAGATATATCCAGTATCTTAATATATACCTTGTTAAAATAGCTAGGAAATTATGAGCCAACCTGAGGAAGCTACAGGCAAAACGTGTTGGTTGCTCTTAAATAAACCACAGTAAAGTCCTTACAGTGTTCGGTGGTTAATTCAGATTTTTTACTTCATGGTCCTGCAGCCTACTAGCACCTGACTGTTGTTGGCAGTGCATGGGGAGTTTGGTTTACTAAGAATGTATGAATTGTGATATAACTAAAAGTAATGGATAAATACCATGACAGTAGTATATATTTGCCTTTTTTTTGTGTAGGAATCACTACTTTTGGATACTTTGTGTTTGTGCTTTACTCCTTTGTAACATAAACATTAGTAGCCCTATGGCTTATCCCTTCTGACAGTAATATAGTGTAATTTTCTCATTTAGGCTTGCACTAACCCCTGCTCTATCACCTTTCACCTTTTGCCTGAAACTGACTAGTTAAATAGCTTATTTGACTAACCACACTAAATTGTTACACCCCAGTGTTAAACCCTCCAGCCCTTCACTTCTCACCTTTGCCCTCTGCCTCTCAGGTCTTCAATCGTCTCTTCTTCTGTTTTTCTCACACTGCGTCCTTCCTCCTCCTTTTGATTCACTGCCACAGTGAAAGTCTATTTTCTCTCTTCTCTTTGCTTTCTCTCCTTCTGAATATTATAGGGAATCTTAAACAGTTAAACAGAATATGGTAGTTTCAAAACTAATCATAGACAGACTATTTTGAACTTGTATCCACCCAAACCTTTGAACTGTGTCCACTCATCCTCCAGGCTCCCTGCTAGCAGCACCATGAGGTCAGCCTGTCTCTCTCTGCTCCTGGTCACTGCCTGCTGGGCTCTGCCCTTCCGCCAGTCTGGCTTCCTAGACTTCATGATGGATGAGGCAGGATCAGGTCTGCCTGAAGAACCGACAATTAGATTCACGCCTCTCATGCCTGAAGGACCCAAGTGCCCCTTCAGATGCCAGTGCCACCTGCGTGTGATCCAGTGCTCTGACCTTGGTAAGACAAGACACCTCCTACTGATGGTTCATCCATGGTTATTTTTGATACCTATAATAAAATGTGAATCATTAAGTATTAATGAATCATTAACTACACCGACTCTGAGGCAAAGGTGTAATTACTCAAAACAAAGCCAAAAAAAAGCTTAAACCCCATTTATTCTTTGTGTTACCAGATTTAATTTCATAGTTGTATTGTTTTCAGCATTCAAGGGGACAGGTGGCAGTATCCTGTCCTGTATTATATTGTTGCATATTGTATTATTGCAATATTTTTTCTATTATGATTTTACCTGATTATATTATGACCGGAACCTGGGCAATTTTGCCTGTAAAATTGCAGAAAAAAAAGTAAAAAAAACCCTTAACATTTTGAAGAAATACAACTACAACAAAACCAGTTATTTTTTATCATTTGCAATGATGCTACATGTAGCCAATAACCCTTAAAAATATTTCAATGTGACTTCTAATGTTCAGACTAGGGGTAACAAGTCTCTTGTTCACATCCATTTTCTTTGTCCACTCCTCCATTTGGTGTTCTCGCCTGGATTCCAAACAAATGAGCTCATTTCGATGGATCAGATGCTGAAGTCAGATGGGTGTCTGCAGTAGTTTTATTGTACTTTTATTGTGCTGAGTGACAGTACTGTTTTTTTAAGAGCCGAAAAAATCACAGACTTCATAAGCGTCTCCACTGTCCACCCAAACCCACAGGTTCAATCAGGGGGTATGTTATGTTCTGCATTATTGCAAAGTCCTCCGGAGAACATGACACCAGTGTCGATATCCTAAATGCTCACAGATGCTGTGAGCCATACTTCACTTCCTGTAACAATTACATTATTTGCTCTTCTGGGTAAACTGTTTTTTAAACAGTGGGGGAGATTGAAGGTTAGCCTGGGAATTGGAAAGTCCTGAACAAATCCCAGTTTTAACAAGTTCAAATGTTACAAAATTTGTTTCTCAATGTAAAGCTTACTCACCAAGGTTGAAAGACTATAATTACTCAGTCGGCTTTTTAATTCAGCACAGTCACAACAATTTACTTAGTTGTCATCTTTGTTGCTTGCAGTTTATCCTCTCTGTTTGTCTAATCTGATGTATAGCGTATACAAGAGCTTGAGTCATCTCACAAGCTTTGTCGTAGAGAAGTTCCTGACCTCATTTATTCTTGTATAATATATAAAAGTGCTTCACTGCGCAGTTGGGTTTGATCGTTTTTTGGCACGGCTTTAGTTTGGAAAGCAAGGGGCACGAGCTTCAAGGAGACAGATGAGGGAGGGAGTGAGACAGATGGACAAACTGGGAGGATAAAATAAAAAGAGGAGTGGACAGACATAACCAGCTCATAACCACTTAAGAGGGATAGGGTTGAGATGGTGAAATACTGTAAAAGAGCATTTATAGATTCAGGACAAAAATTACAAAAAGTGTTGAATGTAAGCAGAGCTTGCAGACAGAGAGGCACCCCAGATAGGCAGGTGGCTCAACAGTCAGAGCAACAGACAGTTGGAGAGAGTGATGTTCAGGAAAAGGCCGGTTCCATTACATCAGTCCTCTAACCAGGGCCCCAGTAAGCAGCAGCACTTTCCCCCGAAGACACAGCTCCGTGGCTGAATTCTCAACTCCTGCATTAGCAATGTTGGCCCTGAGCCCCCATCTGTTCCCCAGACCTGCTGGCATGCACATAAACACTCACACATTTAGACACACACACACAGGATTAAAACTTATATGTATATATTTGGACACACACACAGGCCTGGACAAGACAGAAGAGTCTGCCTGCTCACCATCCTAAAGCACCCTTTTGGGGATTTTTGTCTGTGAGTTTGCAGCTGGCAGGATGACAGCTAAAACATTGAGGAGAGAAGATTTAGCCTAGGGTACAAATGAGTTGTAATTATGGATAAGCAAAACCTCTTTCTAACAGCGTTGGCAAATATAGACTGACAAAATAGCCCTTTGTTCTTGGTTACACATATTAATATTTATCTAATGGCACAATCAGCAGATTCTCTTATTAAATATTTATCTTTTATAAGTAGTGATTGTGTAAGGCGTGTAGTTGGCTGGCACATCATATCTACCCACACTTCCCGAATGGCCTATACCAAAAACTCCAAACTTGCTCAATCCCATGAGGCAATCAGGCAGCCATGACTCGCTCGGCCACAGCACCAGACAAGGAGATGACTTTACATAAACACTACCATTAATGCTTGGAATTGCTGAACATGAGTCTAGTCCAGTCCAAAGCAATCATATGCTTGATATCCCAATCACTCTGCTTTAAAATGGAGTGATTAATAGTAACTGTAATAGTGTGGGCGAGACCTAAAGTCCCACTTTTCTTGTTCTTTTCTTGCCAAGTGGCTATCAGCAGAAATGTGAGACGCTGACTGAAACATGACATTCAGGTCATTTATATACAACTAGCCTTACATATTGATATAGGACACATCTTGATATCTTTAACAGACTGCAAGACCTTTAGAAAAAGTCTCTTGAAAGGGTATTCCATCTATTTAGTTTTGTATTTCCATAAAAATTGGGTGCTGACAAGAAAACAGAAGCAGCAACGGCTGGGAAAGAGAGTCTGACTTTTAGAGACTAACAATGAAAAACAATGTGTGTGCAAGTATAGAGGTATACACTGTGGTGCTGTAATGATGGCGGTGACCACAAACAGCTGTGATGGTTTGTGGGTCATCCACTGCCGAGTTGGAAAAGCTGACAGAAAAGCAAACCTAGCTGAAAGTAATGTTTGGGTGAGCTGAACAGAAGTCGTCACAAACTTTTAGGACAAAATGGGTCCAGACATTCATATGCAGACTGGAGATACAGAGTGTAAGCTTCTTTGTTAAACAGTTTATCCTATGCCTCTTCCTCTGAAATGTAAACCGTCCATTCTAAATGTATTTTTTTGTGTTACCACGGATGCAGAAGTGCATATAACTCCCAGCTGCCTCCACTCAATTTTTTTTTTAAACAGTCCACTCAACCAAACAGTCTTTCACTACAGATGCCATTTTCTGTGTCACATCAGCCATGACGTGCCACGATAAAGTCCAAGCAAAACAATTTAGCTTGAGCTCAGTGTCCAGGTATGCAGTCGCTTACTTACTCCAAAGGAAATTTGTTTTAAGGTCCATTTCCACCATGTGTGCCTCAGAGCACATCAAATAGTTATTTGGTCCCATTGGAATGTCATTATAAAACCCATCCTGCTCTAAGTCCCTATCATTGAGACTTTATGTAGCATGCTATGTTGACAAAGCAGACTTTATTATACTGTAAACTCGGTTACTCTTCCCTGCTCATCCAGGTTTGACTCTCTCTCTTTATGTGTGTAGTCCATTCATCAGTTCTTAAGGTATTAAAGCACCTGAAAACTTTATTTATCCTATCCTCATAGCCCTTTAAGAATTTAAAACTTAGATAACCTGACTGTGTGGGTGTGGTTTGATGGGATCAGATTTGACAGACAGTGCCAGCAAAATAAACAAACAAACCAAATAACTGTCATCATAGTTTGGTTTAGTTGTTGCTGATTGGTGTACAGAAATATGTGACATTACCTTTTTCCAACTAAGCCCTACCCACTACCACAAACACAGATACGACAAGTAAATTCCCCAAAACTATGTCCAGAATTTTTAGTTCATTGCCTAAAGAAACGTAACTTGGCAGCACCTGTAATTATTGGCAGCAACAGCGGTTTAAGGTCCCAGAATTCTGGCGACAGCAAAGCAAACTATTGTCATTTAAAAAAAGAAGTCAGGCAGTAATTGGTCTTTGGATGAGTCAGTTACGTCACAGAGGAGTTGGAGGTGTGAAGCCTGTCGCCTGCAGCTCTTCATCTAACACCTCACCAAGGCTGATCCTTTTTGTTCCATTACTACCTGCAATATTTCATATTTCGCTGTCAAAAAACGCCCAAAATGACGCATTTTAGACGATAGCAGTCAGTGCTCAGTCATCAGTGGGCCATAAGCTCAATTGTGATACCTCATTCAGCAGTAGATGTTTGAGAAAATACATGTCCAGGGCCTTTAACATACAGTAGATCTTGAACCATGGTCATGGAGACAAGAAGGTAACCATTTTGTATCTATTTCCTGTTGAGGTCAGAGCGTGGTTAACTTCTTGCCACCAGAACCTTGGCTGTCATCGCCTCACCTCAAACGCAGTTTTCCGTCATCCATCATTCTGACAGACCTATTGCATATGCTTCTTACCTTCATACCTTATGTCTAATTAAACAATTTCTCATAAAAATTCCCCATCAGGTCTGAAGGCAGTCCCTGAGGACATCCCAGGCGACACCACCCTGCTGGACCTGCAGAACAACAAGATCACTGAGATCAAGGAGAATGACTTCAAGAACCTCAAAGGCCTACATGTAAGAGACATTTTAATTGAATATGTAGAGCTTCCTGTCTATGTAGCACTAACTCTAAACCTTCTTCAACATGAACCCTTGATGATCCCCCGAGGAAACATCTTGTTTCTAAATGTTTCATTAATTAAATGGTCGTTCCTGATTAATTCCTTAAAGTATTTACTCATTCGAAAATATTGACTCCTTTTTACCTCCCATCCCAAAACTCTCTTCATCCTCCTCCATATAGCTCTTTTTCTCCTATCTTTACCACCACCACTCCCCCAGTCACCAGGTGCATGGAAACTATTCACCCGTAGGCCTTACACCCTCACGCCTTCAAACTCCTTAAACTTGTGCAATAAATACTTCTGTCTGATGGCCAGAGCTGTTTCCACTATAATGTAACTGGCCTCTTACGGGAATGGACCACATAACTCACATTGCCTTGTGTCAGCTTACATGAGAGTGAAACAACAGGAATACGATTTCTTAAAAATGCAATAGGGATAACTCCAGAGTGGACTTTTGGCCCTCTGTCTCAACAGCACAGGCACTAAGTGGGAGTATCTAACAGCTGCTGAGCAATGTCTTGTTTTTGTAAAATCTGATCTGGAAAGTACAGATTTCTTTTACAATCCCATGGTGCATTTGTAGCAGGGAATGTTTCTTAGTGGAAGAGAAAACACTGAAAGCTACCAAGGTGTAACATTTCAAATAAAGTTCAAATTCCATAACAATGGGAATTTAAACACTGATGTGGATTTAAACAAGAACTGACTGGATCTGAAAAAAACTACGGCATTGTGTTCACTACCCCAAAGGGTTGTGGGGATAGTGGTAAAAGCTCCACTACACCATGCAGCAAAAATAAAAGGTCATATTTAACACTAGTATCTCATCTCCCTGGTATTCTTCCTTATAGGCTCTGATCCTCGTGAACAACAAAATCACTGTCATTCACGCTAAGGCCCTCAGCCCTCTGACCAAGCTGCAGCGTCTCTACTTGTCTAAGAACATGCTCAAGGACATGCCTGCCAACATGCCCAAGAGCCTGCAGGAGCTGCGCATCCACGAGAACGAGATCACCAAGATCAAAAAGGCCTCCTTCCAGGGCATGTCCCATGTCATCGTCATGGGTATGAAAATGAAAATTTATTCTGATTTGTTAAAATCGCAGATATTTATTTGGAGGTATGACAGTGGAAGATACATATCTGAGGATGTAACCTTCTGTTGAAAAATAGATGACAAATAAGCTTAAGATGTTTCTCCATAAGGTTGTTGTCGGCAATAGCATATGGTGAATGACACTACAGCTGAGGCTACATGCAGTACTTGCTGCATTTATACCTTATCTGAGTGCTGTTATAGCTCTTCCCATAAATGGTCATAGATCCTTTTTAGCCTTTGTTCAATGTTGATCAAACAGCTGCAAAAATTTGGGAATGTTGAGAAGTTGAGAGTTTATTGAAATATGTAACTACTGTATATGCTGTACATGGAGCAGTTGAGTTCCAAGGTATACAATGGATTCACTGCCTTGGATGTCTGGTGTACAGTTGTAACAAGCTGTGGCTTTTCACTGAGGAGGATGTAAACATTTTATTTATTTCTCAAGTAGGTACTTGCGTGGGAATGTTACATTTGATTGATTTTTAGTTTGTAAAGAGTAGAGGGAAAGTTTACTGGATGTTACTGTTGAGACAAGATTTGCATGTCCCAGTCTGGAAGTGATGAGACAGCCACAGACTGTGGTAGCCTGTTAATGCATGATTACACAGCCTATGTTTTTTTTATCACAAAAGCATCAAAGATTATTTGTCCTTTATCGTCCTTCTCCTCCTTTTGCTCTACTTGTCACTTTGACAAATCATCTCTGACTTGTAAAACTTCCTGTTCCACAAATTAAAAAGTGTCATTCTGTCATTGCTCAACTAAAGCTCAAAGTGACGATTCAGTCACTTAAAATGCAGTGATATGAGAATTATGATCTGTGACAAATCAGGGAATCTGGCGTGGATAAAGGCTGCGTTGCAAACACAAGCTATTCTCTTGCCAAATACTTTGTTTACTCATGACTCAGCTCTATGTTCCCGTAACACACCAGGAGAGGATTTAACTTCATAGACGTGATCCATTACTGCTCTTTTCTGTCCCTTTCTTTCTCTTCTTTCTCTCTGTGCTCTTAATAGTTTTTTCTTTTCTTTCTTTTTTCAGAGCTCGGGTCCAATCCTTTGAAGAGTGCAGGAATCGATGCCGGTGCTTTTGCTGACCTGAAAAGGGTCTCTTACATTCGCATTGCAGACACTAACATTACCGAAATCCCCAAAGGTAAAGCTCTAATATTTATTTCCACAAATCATTCCTAAATAATGGGAATTTGATTTAATCCTAGCTTTATCCAGTCAGCCTCAGCCAAAAACATTCCTCTTCTGTAATGCTTTGATTTAAGTCTGCAGTAAAACAATGGGCTCAGTGTGAAAAAACACACGCACTGTACTGCATAGAAATTCAAAACTAAGCTTCTAAGGCAGATGTCACTTAAGCTATCACTTTGTTCATTGTGGTAATCCTCGTCTTGTGGTTTGTCAGGTCTGCCCAGCTCTCTCTCTGAGCTCCACCTGGATGGAAACAAGATCACCAAGGTTACAGCTGCCAACCTCCAGGGCCTGAAGAACCTGGCCAAGTAATATGAATTATGATTCTTGTTAAACCATTTCTTTTTAAGATTTAAAGCAAGACTATAATTATGACTAAACAGCAGCCATTGGGGCCACAAATGCCAATTACAATGTAATTGTGCGTAGAATTTTACTTAATTTCCTTAGATTATCTTAAATACAGTGTGTTTGCCTCTTGTACTTTTGTTATAACCATTTAAATATGTATCTCTATCGTGCTAACACGTAGCAAAAGTAGTCAAGACATCAAATTGACTGAATAATGTCAGGTCATCGCTATCTATCTTAAATTTGGCAATGTTTGCTAACATTTCATCTTTTATCAAATTTACTAAGTCTGGCTTTAAAACTCCCATTTGGAAACATACTATTTCCCATATTTGTCATTCTATTTATGTTATCTCAGTTTTTCGTTGTGTCTTGTGTTTTCATTCTCTGGTTCTACTTGTATCTTTACTTGAAACACTAGTTCTGGTGTTATTTACTGTATAACAAAACCTAAGACCTAAACAGTAGTTTTTGGATAATCAAAATAACTGGTTTGCTCATAAAATTTGATAACACTGTGTTTATAAGATCACTGCTCAGATTGTGCCAAGTGTGCATACCAAACTATAACAAAGAAGGCTTTGATGCAGCATGAATAGAGTGTGTTGGAGGGAATCTGAGGGGTGATTTTTACTTTCCATTCACTCATAATTAAGAAATAGACTGGAAAAGAAATGGTCCCAATGAAAAGTGTAGATTATTTTCTGTATCATTATTTCCTCAGCAAATTTTTTTTCTACTACATTATTAGCTAATGATAATTTTGGCAGCCTGAGGCAAACGTTGATGTCACTATCTTGGTTTCTCCACTCGTGCAGTTTGTGATCTCATGTTCCTTTTTCTTCTACACATTTGAACACCCATCTCATCTACTTGCTCATTTTTCCTGCAGGCTGGGTCTGAGCTACAATGAGATCAGCTCTGTGGAAAATGGCACACTGAGTAATGTCCCCCACCTGCGAGAGCTGCACCTTGACAACAACGCTCTGACAAGTGTTCCTCCTGGCCTGTCCGACCACAAGTACATCCAGGTACATACTGCTTTGATTAACATTATACAATATCTGTACATCGCAGTGCTATTAATCCAGGTTTGAATACACAACATGATCACAGCAATATTGTTTTTGCAATCATTTAGTTCCAGCAAATTAACTCTGCTTGATCATCATAGTTATGTTTCTCATTTTCTTACAGTGTGATCACACACACACAGTTCATTTTCTCTGATCTAAACCATACTGGAAAAGTTTACTTTGTAGCATTTTTGCATTTAGTCTGTTTAGGTTCACACTGCCCAATTACAAGTCATCTAAGGCTTCCATAACAAACGTCACATGGTTTCATTTAGTTTGTTTATTGAGTAAAGTGTTGGTAGCCTGTCATACTATAATGTTACAGATTTAAGCAGCAGGGGGGAGTGTAAACAGACCTCATTCTTGGCCCTTTAACTTTAGTTTATTTTATCATTTCATTAAGCTTCTCAAGCCTGAGTAACTGCTGTATCAATCCCATCCCCATAAACCTTTTTGAGGTAATTCCCTCATTTCTAATGAACCGCAGCACTTTACACCTGTCAACCATTTTTTAGCTGTTGTTTTGTGTTGTTGTTTTAATGGTATTGTCCTCAGCAGCCATAACACACCAAACTATGGGAAGAAATGAACCAGAGTTTGGAGAGCTGTTCTGCACAGTTTGTGCTAAACAGAGGTTTCTTCCAGTGCAAATTGGGACACTGCATTAGTAATAACAGGATATACCTAAAGACATTGGGTTCAAATATGAATATGGGAATATTCGAACATAACAACCATTACTTTTTGGGATGTTTCTGTATATTAACAAACGAATACAAAATACAAAACTGCAGGTGAGTTTAGGAGATGACATTTAATAACAGTTATAGTAGTAGAAGGTCCTATAAGAGACTGACACATGGTTCTACTGACAGCATTTACTCAGTTAGATTTTTATTTTAGGAAGTACATACCAATAGGGACTTAATGAGGTGCTAAGTTTATAACATTTTTGTGATCATTCTTTTTTTATATATATATTTTTAGCTCTTTTTGTTCTTTGTCTTTTGTCCTTCACATTGTTCCATTGTATATGATGGCAGTTGTAATTCATAATGACTTTGTATAGTTTTATGTTTTTGGATTTAGCGTCTTCAGATTCTGTAATTAACGTTATGTTGTCTTTCCTAGTGACTTTGTGGCACTTCCCCTTCTTTTGTTCTTATTTCTAGGATCCTTCCCATCCCCCTCAGTTCTGCATGACAAAGGCCACTGTGCTTAAAACACAGTGCTTAGCTGCATGATTGTGTTTAGCCACTCTTATGTTCATATACGCTTTTCATGTGCTTCTGTTTTTTATATGCATCTAAAGCTGTGCTTGTTCTCAAGCATCCAGCCGCATCAACTCTGTTATTTTGGAGCATGATCATGTAGGAAGTCTTCTTCCCACAGTTTTTATTTAAACAGAGGAAGAGAAAAAAACAATTTGGCTTTCTTGAGCTGTTATTATTCATTTGGTGACTTACTATTATCATCTTTATCTGGTTTATTTTGGAAAAACTAAATTGTTGCCATGCACATCCCACTCAGTGACCGAAGGTTGTCATTATTTAAATCCCTTCTCTAGGTGGTCTACCTCCATGCCAACAAGATTTCTGCTGTGGGAACAGGGGACTTCTGTCCTCCTGGCCTCAACAGCAAGAAGGCCATGTACTCTGGCATCAGTCTGTTCAGCAACCCTGTTCCTTACTGGGAAGTTCAGCCAATCACCTTCCGCTGTGTCTTCGACCGCTCCGCCATCCAGCTCGGCAACTACAGGAAGAAGTAGAGCGTCCCGTGCACCTCTTCGTGGAAGTGTGTGTTTGTAAATGAGTGTGTGAAAGTTTTGTAAGCGTGCGTGTTTGACCACAGCCCCACAACACTGACCCCTACCAACACTGCCTCCCCACAGAAAATGATGTCATTAATCCACGCACTCATTTCAAAACTTTAGTGGACATGGACCTCAAATATAACATATCATATTCATTATTTAGCTTCAAGGTTGGTGCGACAGTAGTACACACAGCTTACAGCAAACACCAGCATACTATGGGGATGCTCTCACACACAGCACATTCATAGAAGCAGTTAAGCCAGCATTAACATTTCAAATATGTTTTCACATACATGCTGTAACATATCATTTTGCATAATATGAGCAATTCATTCGGTGGACAAATTGAAATTCAGAGATGATCCCTAACCAAAAAGATTTGAAATCTCACTCAGTGGAAAATGTTATAAATCCCAGTTTGGTAAACTTTCTCGAACTTTAGCCATTGTATGAATTATAAGAGAGCTGGCCTGTAGAGCAGGCAGCAAGGGGTTAACTTGTGTTTTACAATACCTTTAACAACTGGTATACTAGAATGTACTAGATATTACCTGTGTACTAGGAATAGCATTCAGAGTGTAACATTGCCACGCTGCACTCCTTGAAAGAACTCTGAGTTTCTATTTGTATTGTACTCAATTCAAGTAGAGATAAAAGCAACCGTGACTTCTATTACATTGTGATTTCTTGTGCTTACTTCAAGTGTTGATTTAGTTCTGGGTGTTGTTACACTTTTTCTTCATCACATTTCATCAGTTGTTCCTCTCCTAGTGTATGTTGTTCCACAAATAAATAAGGTGAAAATAGCTTCTAAAAAAAATGTAGAATAAACCATATATGTTTTAAACAGAAGCCATTCCCAAAGATTTATATGCATGCTCTTATTTTTTTTTTCCTTTCAACTTGAACCTGATGCTTTCTGGAATCTCTTGTTAATGCGTGTATGTATTTCTCTCCATGTTTTCTTATTTCCTTTTTTAAGAGTCAAGATAAATTGGAGGGTGCATGTGGACTGGCATGCCCACTGCAACCATGTTGGTGTGAATGTTGTATGTATAGACGCTGTATATAAATGCTGTATAAAAACCTCTCATTGCTTAAAGGCACAAGCACTTACCATAGCTCAGACTTAATATATCAGCTACAAAGGTGTTCCTCTTTTTTTCCCGGAGCAGGGGCTCCAGCTAAGGTGTCCTGAACAAAATAAAAATACTAATGGAAAAAGTAGCTGTTTTTGATGGGTGTAATAATCAAAACTTGCATTATCATCAATAATGTCATGGAGATTTGTACTCCCAGTCACTGGATAGCGCTGCAATAACTAAATACAACTAAATATAAAGTGGGCAGTGGCTTCCTGGCGAACAAGGTCAAGAGGAGGCACAGGTAAAGTTTACTGAAAAACAGGTGAGACACTTTCATCAATATGCACACACATTAGGTGAAAGTGCTTCAGCAACATATTAATGATAGAAAACCTTGATAAAAGCTTAAAATGTCAAATAAGGTCACCTTGGTTGACCCAATCAGAGATATTCAAATGTTTCGAAAATGTGCTATTTCCATGGGATATATCATGCATATTAATGTTTAGCTATATAAGGACCCAAACAACATCAATACAATACATTTCTTAACACATTTCAATAGATAATTCATAATGTGTCTGCTCAGCTAATGACTGCGGCGTATTTCAACTTCATGGGCACCTTTAAAAGTCACCAATAATTTTCAATTTTATCACACACTTTATCCGGTTTCTTTTAACAAAGTGGTGTTTTTTTTGGCATCTGGCATAAGTCACAAACAGATGTTATAAGACACAATGGAGACTGTACTCCTGTCAAAGAGTAAATATGGGTCAGATTATTATCCAACATGACCAAACAAATTGTAACATGGGAGCCATTCATCAAGTTCATTCGCTCAGGATATAAATTTTATAGAATAGGTGTGTCTTAGCTACTTTTTTGGCTTTAATTAAATCAATGACAGTGTCCTGTTATGGATGCAAATGTTGCAATGAAAACTGAAGTTTCTTAACAATTCAGTCCCATTGAGGCATTAATATAACAACAATTATATTACCACTCGGTGACATACAGTACTTGTTCCCATCTATTTCCCATATTCCTTTATCCTGTGAAGGATTCGGGGGCTGGAGCCATTCCCAGCATGTATTGGCTAAGAGTCAGGGTACAGTCCATAACAAGATGTACTGTACATTTACAGGACACATATGCATCTATATATACAAATAGACAGACAACGCATTCAATTTAGAGTCTCCAGTCTACCGTGTCTATGGTTTGTGGGAGGAAACCGGCGCTCCCTAAGGAAATCACACTGACACAGGGAGAACATGCAAAATCCACATTGGCCAGCACATTCGATAATAGACTTTTTGTTATGGTGAGACAATCACATCGCATACAGGTCCCATGGTCAGTCACAACAGTTAAGTGGGGGGTTTAAATAAAGCTTAAAAAGCAAACTTTGGGTAGATTTATTCACTTCGAGCTACATCTGCAGCCTCTAACTTATATTGGTGGGTTTTGTGGACTGAGGTAAAAAAAAATATTTGCACAAGGACCATTTCTGGCCTCTGAGCCACCAGTGATTTATAATCCCTCAGTCATTTAAAAGACTGTAATGGGAATATTTAGGTTAAAGAAAAAAGAAATGGAACTCCCTTGAGACATGTAGTTGAGACTCCTGCCTCTGGAAGCAGGTTGTACAGTGTCTAATGATCAGTGCTCATAATAATCAGATTTTTGCTCACTTTGTACATTTGTTCACCAATTTCTAATGAAACAATATATATAATATATATATATATATATATATTATATATATATATATAATTCATAAGATTAAAGACATCAGGTTTTATTTATTTTGAAAGAACCAGTGTCTAGGATTTAGTGGCATCTAGCAGTGTAGTTGCAGATTACAACCTTCTCGCCTCACCCTCCTGCTCCAAGTGTATAGGAGAAACTACGGTGGCCCCCAAAACTTGCAAAAGACACAAAAGCCTAGAGCCAATGTTTAGTTTGTCCATTCTGGGATTCTATACAAACATAGCAGTTTAACATGGTAGCCTCCATAGAAGCAGACCCGCTACCCCAGGAGAATAAAAATGGTTCATTCTAAGGTTAAAAAAAAATATCCTCTAATTTTAAGGTGATGTTTACTATATATAGCAATATATGACCATATACTATACATATGACAAGTAATATAGCTATATACACTATAATACCTACCTACGTTACTTTCTTGGCAGGCTGGTCTTTTCTTTTCTGAAATGAGCCAGTTAATACCCCAACCAAGTGTCCACTTCGCACCACTATTCTGTGTTATGTTTTATTTATCACTAATGTTAGACACACACCTTGACAAATCAAACAATTCTCATTATCACATAAGCAACAACAAAAATGGGAAGTGTGGAAATGTTGAGTTTTCATTTGTTTTATCAACTTCACTGGTAAAATAAATTGTTAAAGTTGTCATTTTTAGGACTCCATAGAAACTCCCTCCTTCACTTAAAATGCTAACTTTATGGAGTTAAATTACAAAGAATGCAAACAGCCTACCCAAAAAAGGAGCTATGAAAAAAAAAGAACATTTAAGAGTTATGACTAGCTCAAAATCCTCCCCCTCTGATATGACTTGGGTCTTGGGTTTTCATTTTTTTTTTCAGACAAGGACAGGCTGAAAAGCATCAGTGTTTGAGAGCTGGCACTCATCCCAGCACCTCAGAGCCAGTTCAATACAGCGACATGAATGTACTTCAATCTGTTGCCCCCATGTGGTGGATGTTAGTACAACAAGTTCTAGCATTTGTCTTTCCCACTTAAAACACACACATGCATAAGCATGGTGCAACTTGATCTCCTGAACAGACGTGTATCTTCTAGACCATAAGCACTTAGACTTATTGCTTTAGGCCCGTTGCCAGTATTTATGTGTGGTGGTGCATGTGGATTGAGATGTATGTCTGTCTGCAAGGTTTCAATTAAGGTGTAAAAACCTTGAGAGAAAATTGTTTGGAGAAAATCAGTTGTGTGCAAATATGTTTCCATTGACTTAATTTAGAGCATATTTGCACATACACTCATAGCTTAGTGCGTTTTCACATGCATGTGTGAGTGTGAGTGTGTAGGTGAAGTGCCTGCCTTGTGGCACTTATGCAACCAAAGTAACCTGAGCTGCTTCACTATGTCGAAAGCAAAGACTGCTGAAAAGCAGATGTGTTGCTAGAAGATTTTTTGCAGATAGTTAGCTTCATCTGATGCTAAATTCCTCCATCAGATCCTCCTATCAACACCACAGCAATGTGTTAAGCCCTGTAATTACAGTGTATGAGGCATTTTATATGAAAACTATATACTTTAGCTGAGTGTTTACACTATATCCTTTAATTCCTTCAGCAACTTCTAAGGTGGTGTGTGTGATACAGGTAGGTAACAAATAAACATAAACGAATAGAGGTCTGTTGTGTTCAGCAGATCTTCCTGTCTAATTTTAGTGTCTTTTTTAGTCCACTTATGCCGCACATGTGAGCCCATGAGCGACAAGGTGATAGAATAGCTTGGCCTGGCTAGGGATGAGTCTCTGTTCTAAGCACAGTGCTTACCACATGGCCACATGGTAGGAACAGAAGGTGGTGTCTGGGTGCTGTCTGAGATTTTATTAGAAGCCTCTGTGTGTCGGTGCCAAGAAGTCCAAGAATATCCCTGTTTGCTAATATGCTTGCTTGGATCTCCATGTGTGTACCTCTGTTAGAGCATGTGCATGTGTCTTAGTTGTACTTTTTTATTGTGGGGGCGGAGGGCTCTCGGGTGCTCTTATTCATGTATCTGTGAATGTGTCTGTGTATGGTTTTTACAAGGAAGAAAAATGGAAGGGAACAGTTTGCAGTGCATTTTCACACGTGTCAATTGTATCTTTTATGTTTCATGTATGATATATAGATGTATAACCATGTATGTCTGTATATAGCTCTGTGCCATTGCATGCACTATGTGAACAACCTAGGTGGTTAACATGGTCACCAAAAGAAGGTAGGTAGGGCTGCAGGCACTTTGCAGCACGTCCCTAGCAATGGACTACGAGTAAAAAGGTCAGATCAGTCTGTTCCTGGTTTAGTTCGAACAACCCTTTTTGGCTTTACTTACTTATTTTCACTCTACATTCCATGACAAATGGCTTTTAAGATGAGATCTGGCAAACATAACACTGGTGATGTTGCTGGAGTGTAAACATCCCCAAATTAAAGAGCAGGACAGAGCTGCTAAAATCAGCCTATACTTGTCTTGGGGAAATACTAGGACTACACAATGGATGGGCTAGTTGTGACTAAAGCTTTTTTTTTTCTTGATTTTTTTTTACATAACCTGTAACTGCATTTAAAAAAAACAGCAGCAAGCTGGTTAGCTGAACATGCTAACATCTTACATTAGAGCAGACACTGTTTAATCCATCCAGTCATTAATCCATCCCTTACACTTTTACTCTTGTATTTTAATTTTGGGGTTTTGGAGAGGCATTAAAAAGATAGCACCTTCCAAACTCTTTTAAATACACACAACTGCAGCATGTGGAGAAATCCAAAGCTTGGTTGCTAAACTAAGATTGGTTGCCAACTGCAGATCAAGGAAGGGGTTTAGCTACCAGTTATATAACAGCTATCTGAGTTATATTTACAATATATCTGACATTAGCCTGTGATTACAATTATTTGAAAAGGTATTTCTGTCTTTATGGTAGAATTTCTTCTTCTTCTTGTTAATAAGTTTTTGTACATGTTGTAGACCTTGCACAGACATATGTTAACTTAAGATGGTAAATAAGTCAATCAAAGATGTACTGGAGCATATACTGTAACAAAATTGCTTTGTTGTGGAGAATGGTGCTAATCAGACCTGAAACATAAGTGGGTTTATAACCTCTGACTTTTTCATTTGAGTACGTCATAACATTACAAGGAACTCAACAAAATGAAAAATAAATTATGAGGAAAAACAGTGTTAAATGCCAGTGAGAACACATTTAATGGGAGAAGGCAAGCTGACTTAGCAAAATGTAGTAGAATGTGGGTTTCTCAGCCTCCACATTAAGATCAACTTGGATCAGCTTCACTCTGGTCCACAAAAACACTGCCAAGAACACAACTGAAGGCAACCAACCCTCAAAGAAACAAACATTCTGGGCCCTCTATA